GCAAGCAGGGGCCGTAAGCAGGGCGCCATCCCAGGCTGCCGCATTTTGCTGTGGAAGGGGGAGCTATGGCTCTGTCTCTGCGGAGAGTCTTCATTCGGTCCCAGCTCCAGCTGTGCGTGACGTGCAGCTGCGTCTCTCCCTGGCGCGTGTCCCAGACTGGAGCTTAACTGTCTTGGGCCGCACAGGCCCAGTAAGCGTCTCTCTGCTCTAGCAGCTCCTCTCCCTTCAGGTAAAGCCAATGCAGGAGCTGCAGGGACTGACCACCCCCTACTCCTGAGCTGACGGTGCTTTGCAATGATTGAGAAGACGGCACGTCTTCGCCTCTGTTCTCTGACCTTCCCAAGGCGCTAGCAGTGCGTGGAAAGGGGGCGCAGGCTGGGAGGCAGACGGCCCTTGGCGCGCCAGCGCTGAGCGTTATCGCCGTCAACAGCACTGGAAGGAAGGACTGCAGGGCGGGATGGCGCAGGGCGGTGACCTGAGGCTCTCCTGAGTTCTGGGGGCCGGCCCTCTCTCGTGGTGGGGACGGACCGGGGCTCGGAGCGCCACCAGACACGGAAATGTCGAGGTGTTTTCCCCAGAGACGCTGCCTACGCCAGGGAAGTGACAGGCCTTCTTAATAAAGATGGCGGAGGCCCAGGGCTTCCCTGCGGGGGGCAGGGTGGGTCCCTCTGCTAAGCCCCAGAGCCTCGGGGGGGGGGCTCGGAAGTGACCCCAGGCACGCAGAGGCTCTCTTTAAGGAGGGGAATATTACTGCCCCAAAAAACCCCAAAAACAAAAAGCAACCCTTATGAGGCAGTATATGAAGTAGAACATAAAAGGGCCAACTTTTAGTAGTGTAAGTTATGTTGTAGATTCAAATCGAATAAATTAACGAATTGTAAACTGGTCAGTGAAAACATTGCTTTTCTCTTTTTTGGGGGGGCAGGGAGTATTCCCCTCGTTTATTTTTTTGTTTTTGTTTTTAAAGCCTTTTTTTTAATTTTCTATGTATTTTATTTTGTTTTATTTTTTTGTTAGATACTTAGTGAAATTTCTTTTCTTTTTAAATTTAAACCCAAGTTAGTTAACATATAGTGTAAGAATGGTTTTAGGAGTAGAATTTCGTGATTCATCCAAGTGCCCTCCCTAATGCCCATCACCCATTTAGCCCATCCCCCTCCCCAAATCCCTCCAGCAACCCTCAGTTCGTTCTCTGTATTTGACAGTCTCTTATAATTTGCCAACAATGAGGCTTTTCTGAAAAATACAAACATTTTAATGGGAGGCATGTATGGCTTTTGTTGACATATGTGCAAGCCAATGTTTCACTTATCTATGTTATTCTATGACATATTACTGAGAAAAATCTGGGTTCATACATATCAACTGTTACAAATTCCAAAAACCGAAAAATGTCTTGCTTTGCAATTTCAAGATATTTTAAAATTAAGAGGACAGATTTATTTTTGGAGTCCACCTTAAAACACACTGACCTGGCAGTTGAGACTTCGGCGGTTTCCAACGATTTTTATGTTGGCAGCTATATCTTTGTTTTTTGTTTTTTTGTTTTTAATGTTTTTATTTATTTCTGAGACAGAGAGACATCGTGTGAGTAGGGGAGGGTCAGAGAGAGAGGGAGACACAGAATCTGAAGCAGCTCCGGGCTCTGAACTGTCAGCACAGAGCCCGACACAGGGCTCGAACCCACAAACCGCGAGATCATGACCTGAGCCGCAGTCGGACGCTTAACCGACTGAGCCACCCAAGTGCCCCGCCAGTTACATCTTTGAATGTATTTTCTTTATTTTCAGTTTTAGAGTAGTTAAATTACACTTAAACTAAAAGACCCATATGATTCTCAGGAGCTTCATTTGGCGTCACTGGCTCAGGCAAGTCAAAGATGTCCTTCATTTTGGATTTTGTGGGTATGTGCTGGGCTGTTCATTACTAACCGCCAGCAGATTTCGGAAACTTCACTGGTGACCTCATGCGTAGGCAGCACTGTAGTATGGTGGTCAGAACATGGGTTCTGTTGTCGGAGAGACCTGGGTCTGAATAGGAACGCTGCCACTTAGTAGTTTCTATAAGTCACTGTTTCTCTGCCCTTCATTTCCTCATCTGTAGAAGGGAAGTGGTGTCACCTAAGCAGCATGATTCCTGTGGGGATGAAATGAGAGTATGTATTTAAAGCTCTCAGCCCAGGCTTTGGCATTTACAAAGTACTTTTGAAGGAGAGTGGGGCTGCCAAGGGCTGAGTGCTGTGTGGACTCCAGGACATCAGTATCCTTTAGAGGCTCTCCTATACCAGCTCACGTGTCCCCCGAGCTCCAGACTCACATGTACAGTGTATAGTGAATTTGTGTGTCTAGTAGCAGCTGAAACTCAAGGAACAAACAGAATTTAGGATCCCATCCCTCTTAATGCTGTGTACCCCCAGATCATATTATTCTCCTGGTTAATGACCTTAAAAGAGTATCAGCTTTCCTTACCAGGACCTATGACCTTGGACTCAAAATGAAGTCCACAGACCAGGTGTCTCTCCTGGAGCTTGTTAGAAATGCAGACACTCTGCCCCTCTAGAATCAGAAGCTGCTTTTCAATAAGATTCCTGGCAATTTTCCTGCATGTACTGTTTGAAATGCACTGAGCCCACCTCATGCTGACCTCCTCAAGGGTTGTGCTTCTCCCAGCATAAGATACCCAGCACTATGAAAGCCTGGACCCCAGTCTCTCCCCCACCTGGATCCCTTTCTGTGAATGAAGGGTAGTTAAATGTCTGGCTATTCAGATGGTTGATTTAGCATCTACAAGAGGGAGCTCTGGGCTCAGATCTGGGTAGACAGGCTTCCCACTCCTGTTAATGAGCCCCCATGTTGACTTTTTCCAGGCAGACCCATGGGCAGGAACCCTCCCATAGACACGTGGCTAGTAAGGACCCCCACGCCTCTTGCTCACATCTCAGTTCTCAGCCTTGGTCCACCCTGAACCATGTATCCATCAATGAATACTATCAGACAGACAGACATTTGGGCTGTGTTTTGGTGTCTGATGGTGGCAGAAAAGGATTTCTAGTGCCTCGGGGTCAGCAATGTCAATCCCAGAAGCCACACTGGGAAGCAGTTTGAATACATGGATAGCTGCCTGGAGGCCCAGGGGGCAGTGGAAATACAGTATCATTGAGGATTTTACTTTTTTAACCTAAGTGGGGAGTGACCTTCCTTCTAGCCCAGGGGCTTACTGCTACTAAAATGGATAGCAGTCACTCACCTCTATAGAGAATGGGATCAACATTTTGGAACCAACCGGAAAAGCAAAAACCAGCTGGCAGTCAGCAAAGTACATCCTCTCATCCCATGCCCTAGTGAGAACTTGACAGGGGACTCTGGGCCCCGTAGCAGCTGGTCTCTCCCCAGTGGACTGGAGCTCTGAACAGTAGGATCTCCCAGGCAGAAGAGACTTGGAAACTTACACCTCCTATGACAATGGCGGCTCTTGATGAGGGGATAGTCACCTGAAAAAGCTCCCTCCTGAAGTGTTTGAGGCACAGTGTGCATGGCCACCTTGACAGACTCAATGAACAGCAGAGGAAGGTCTGTTCCTCCAGGGCCTGTGTGAACATCTGCTTGGGACCCCTGGGTTCCCTGCCTGGAACACAGGTCCATGGGGAGACAGGCCTGCACACGTTTGATGAAGTTGACAAGACATTGGAGTCCAGGTGTGGCTCCATGTAGCTGCTATGAGGGCTAAGGAGCTCAACCCAACACTGGCTGCCAGAAATCGCTGGATACAGTTCTATGGCCTGGCCTGGCAGCATCAGCCACAGCTTGGCTATGGGCCAAAGAGCACTAGCTGGGAATGGGGAGGCGAGCCCCAGGAGCCAAGGATTCCTGGGGCTTAGGACATTCTCTCCCCCTCTCCTTCCCCCTGTGATTTCCTCTTCCTAAATGGATTCTGTCCTGATTCCTTTTGGTCAATACTTTGCATGCTTTTCTCTCTCATGTCTCTCTTTTACCAGCCACCTAACCAGGCAGAAATGCTCTCCCTTTTCCAGGCCCCTTAGCCACCATCCATGTTTCACACTGTTGAACTCTTGATTCAAGTCCTAGCCCTTCCTTGAACTTATTCCACGGGCTCTAGCCCTGGAGCTTCACTTCTTTGCCTCTGAGTGCCTCCCTCTGTCCTAGTGGTGTTCCATTTCCCATGTGCTGGTGTGGCTCTGACATGACTGTGTGACCTCAGGGTCAGTGGCTCTCTGTGTGTAGTCAGTTACACTCATGAAGCATTCCTGGCTCACCTGGTACCCTGTACATGCATAACAGTGTGTGAGTAGTGTGTGTGTACATGTGTGCGTGCGCGCGCGTGTGTGTGTGTGTGTGTGTGTAACGTACTTTGCCTTTAATGACTTAAAGTCTGGGAGGAAGGATAAATCATGTCACAAATGACTGAAGTGGAAATATGACAAATGGTAGACACAAGACATAAGGATTCAAAGGAGAAGAAGATTGGGAAGGGGTGGGAAGAGCTGCATCGAGCCAGGGACCCCTGGAGTAGGTCTTGGGGGGTGCAGGGAGCTTCATCTAGAATGAGCACTGGAGGCAGGAGGGACCTTTTGGGAAGAGAGCTGCTTGTGCAACGGCACAGAGGGCAGAAAGCATAGGCTGTCCTGGGGAAGCACCGTTTCCTCTGGGCCTGAGGCCCTCAGTGTGGCACAGGGGGCTGGGCCAGCACAGCCTGGCCTGTTTCTATGTGCTCCAGGAGGTCACCAGAACCAGGCAGGGAATGTGGCCGACTGGGGATGCCCATGAGGACTTGGTAGTGGTGGAAGATGAGTGTGGAAGCTCTGTGCTGTGGCTGCACCTGAGTTCTCATGGTCCCCACCCCAAGCACTTCTCATTCCTGAAGCCAGTGCCCCAGTGAAGCTGTGGGGGCATCCAACCTAGACCACAGCACCCAGTGCTGAGAATGAGGGCAGGCTCAGTGATGGGAACATGCACCAGTTTTCTTGATTTGTATGACTTTATTTTCCCTCACCCCAAAGTATATCAGACAGAAATCAGCACAAGCCAAGGTCCAGGCTCTGAAAGAAATCTGGGTGTTGCCCAAAAGGACCATGTCATAAATCTGAGCACATGTTTCAGGCCCCGGTGGCCCCTGAGACACCCACTCCTTCCTACCAGGAGTGAATGGGTTAACCTGGTTGTGCTCTCCATGGAGAAGGCACTCCTGCAAATGGCCACTGCAGCATCTCGTGTGACTCAGCGGGTCCCCAGGCCGGGCCGACTCCCTTCTGTACACCTGCTGCCATCTGCCACCTGGAGGAGCAGAGACAGCTCCCATTCCAGGTCTTCAATCCTCTGAGCCAGGTGGGCTCTTCTCACTTCCAGCATCAGGGCCTCCTCTCTCTTCAAGGCCCAGGTCCCCAGATTCTCTCCATCCGGGCCACCGGCCTCTGCCGGGTAGGGTCTGTCTTCTTGCCTCACGCCAGGGAAGATGTTGGGAACCTCCTGAAAAGGACACAAACAGGAAAAGGAGATGTGACTCCGGAGAGTTGTAAGTTCACTCTTTCCTGCACGCACCATGTGATACTGGGATCACTCCCGTCACTCTGACAGTCTCTAGGCATTAACACCCAACCAAATACTTGAGAAGATGCCAACAACTTACCTCCAGGGACTGACCTCACAGCTAACTAACAAAGACATAGTGTTTCCTGAGTTTATGTTGCTACATTAATGCACAACAACTAATTATATCGTTTCACAATCATCATGGTTAATAATTTGGAATAATTACTGAATAATTAAATCTTGCTGTATTTTATAGCCCCTCAGCTCACCCTGTTTTTTCCTTCCTTAATACCAGAGATATTTATGTAATGTCTTTTTGAGCCTGAGGTTGCCCTGTTACCTTATCCTCACCAAATCACCTGAGCCCCTCAATGCAGTCAATGATGGTCCCTTTGCATGGTCCTTCCACAGTGTCACAGCTTCCGATCTGAAATGGAGGGTGGCTGCTTAGAGACCCCACAGCTCAGTGTGACTTTTTGGGGAAGAGCTCAGAGAAGGAACAGTAGGGTCCTCTTGGGCCGTCACACCCAGAGACTCTCCTAGTTGTGAAGAGGGGATTCCCTGGTGACACAGGCATCCTGGCACACAGATGCCCACGCTGGGAAACCCGGAGAGAGAAGGTGTCTCTGCATGCTTTTCCACCACCCAGGGTCCTGCCTGTGTGTAGCAACGCAGCAAGGCAGGGAGTAGGGTGAGATGAAGGAGGCACTGGCTAGGTGCAAAAGTTAAGAGTATACCAAAAAAGTCAAGTCAAGAGAAATGATATTTTAACACAGTATTAAAAATCTCCAAGTAGCAAACTAAGGCCCACAAGCTGGCTGCCTGCTTTGGTGAATAGAGTTTTATTGAGCTCAGTGCAGATACAACTGGATTATTCCCTTTTGTCTCTTGTCTTTGTCCCCTCCACCCTTCCCTATATTGATACCTTCAGAGACTCAAATTAGGATGGGGAAGCAATCTAGCTGAATCTCATGGAAAAGTCCTTGTTCCAGAACCATGTACCACTAGTTACGCTACATCTAAACAGCTACTTTTGTGCTCCCTTTTCATGCTCTTCCTCAGTCTTTCCAGGCTATCAATTTAACAGGTCTTCCCTGTTTCTAGAAGTACTTACCAAACCAAGCAGGCAAAACCAGACTTTGGCTGGTGGGCTTTCTGGTCCCAACCTCTCCTGTGCGGCCCTGTGACTCCGTGGGTCCCACACTGTGAGACCCAGCTATCTGTAGGCCCCTCAGGAGGTGAGGCAGTAGTCTGCTGAGCTTACCACAAACGTCCTGCCTTCGCTTGGGGGCGGTTGGCCTGGTTTGTCCTTTTCCTTCTGGAGTTCTAGGGCGTGAGCAGTGAGCTGGAAGAACTCCTCATTCAGCTCATCCAAAGTGTCTTCCACCTGCCATATCTTTCTCTATAAACAAGGGACACATGGGCTTCATTACTTTCACTTTTATTCTTATTTCATTGCAAATCCATTGAGCTCCTGTTCCATGACAGGCAGTGGGATTAATACCGGACATACAGAGTTGAAGTCAGGTCTTCTCTCAAAGAGCTAAGATCTAAAGGCCAGTAAACTCAGGTGTACAATCCAATAGAATAAAGGCTGTCGTGGATGGGGCCACAGGAGCAAGAATCAGGATGCCTAATTCAGGTAGGTATGACCAGGGAGAACTTTCTTAAAGAGGGCATATCTCGGCTAAGTGTTACTGATTAACAAGAATTATCTGGGTGGACAATGGAAGAAAGGCATGCTAGGCAAAGGGAACAGCATGTATGAAAACATAGAGATATGAGAGAGAACAGGGAACATTCATCCGTCAGTCCATCCATGTGTCCATCCACTCATAAGTAAAGAAAGCCTTATTGATCATTCGGTATGTGTCAAGCCAATAATTAGTTCTAAAATTCCATTAGTGAACTTCCTTGGGGTTTACAGTCTATCAAGAATGGCAAACCAAAAACAGGGAATTATGAGTGATGAGTATTACCTATGGGTTGCTGTGTGAAGGTTGCTATGGAAGTAGTCAAAGCTTAGTTTGGTTGTAGCATGGAATTTGTTTGGAAAAGTGGAAGGAGGTGATGCTGGAGAAATGGAGGTAATGTGGGAGCTAGAGAGAGTGGTACACAAAGGGCCTTGTGTGCTGGTCGCAGCTACAATGGCAGAGGCTTTCTTATTAACAGTATTTGATTTTTAGAGAGTGCCAGTTAGCCCAGCTGAAAAACAGCTTATTTTCAGACTCTTGTAGATTGAGATTACCATATGAACACATTTTGGCCAGTGAGATGTAAAAGAAAATTGCTGAAAGAATGAGTTCTAGAAAACATCTTTAAAAAGAGAGTTGGCTTTAGAGTGCCTCGGTGGTTCAGTCAGTAAGCGTCAACTCTTGATTTCAGCTGTCATGATCTCATGATCTGTGGGATCAAGCCTCACATTGGGCTCTCTGCTGACAGCAGAGCCTGCTTGGGATTCTCTCTCTCCCTCTGTCTCTGCCTCTCCTGTGCTCATACTCTCCCTCCCCCCTCAATAAATAAATTAATAAACTTTTAAAAATAAAATAATAAAAATAAAAAGAGATCTGACTTGGTCAGCCTGCCCCCTTTCATCTTCCTGTATGTGGCATGTGAGTATTTTTCCTTAAAGGCTGAGGTGTTAACTGCTACCTTGGGTGGGTGTTGAGGTCATGAGGCCATTTATGGTGGGAAGTGGTCCCCATTTGCCTGAGTAAAGTCTGGACTCAGGAAGTGGCTCTCTATTCTCTGCACTTGAATTAAAAACCTGCATCTGACTTGAGCACATGGCCCATTGCTGAGCAGGCTTGTTGCTCAGAGCTGAGGTTGGAAAAGATACGATATGAGAAATTAGAACCATAGGGCTGAGCACACTATTAGGAGGCCAGATTGGGCCGGGGGGCTAGGAAGCTAACCTCTCAAGAGTACTGGAAGAAGCAACCCCCAAGTATGCAAGTGGAGACGATCACAGTTGCCCCACAGGGAGGCCTACATAGAGGAAAATTCCCCTGAAGATGCTTGTGAAATGAAAACACAAAATATGGAAGGTAATCCAATGGCACAAGAACTAGCTGACCTGATGAAAATACCCCCGAGAAACTGGAAATAACAGTGAGATCTGAGCATGACTGTCATATAAGCATGAGAAGGAAGATGAAAGAATAGAATCCATAAAGCAAGCACAGGAACATTATACAGAAAAAGAAATCTAGAAATGAAAACATATGAAGAGAATAACGTGATTGATGACTTACGTACAGACCCAGTTGTAGTGAGTTTGTAGAAACTTATGAGGAAATCACCTGGAATGTGGAACTGAGAGGCAAAGAGGTAGGAAACATAAAGGAGAAATGAAGAAATACAGAGGTAGAAATTTTAAATGTTGCATAGCAAAATCCATTAATAGATAGATGGTGGTTTTGCCTATACATTTTTCCAAGTGTCTATATAGTGTGTTCATTTTGCCATCTTATTGGACACCAAGATGCCTTCATGAACTGTCAGTTGCTTGAGCAGGGGTTGAGTTTGTCATGTCTGTGGATCCCCAGCTCCCTCACACTCAGCTTGTCTCCTATAAATGCTGGGTTGAAAAGGATGAGGATCTCCTTCCCTTTCCTCATTCATGCTTCTGAACTAGGTCAGGCAGCATAATACAGAAGAAAAAGCGCAAGTGGACAGAATGGGATTTCACACTCTTGGACAAAGTTACCCTCCTCTCTGAGGTTCAGTTTCCACAGGTGAAGAATCAATGTCTGTCTCAGAAGGCTGCTGTGAGGTTCAAATGCATGTGTGAAAGCGACCAGCACAGGTCTGGCTCACAGGAAGATCTAACAAATAACACCTTTTCTGTCTGCCCCTCTTGGGCACTGATATGCATGGGGATGATGGGTAAAATCGTTACTATCCATTTTGGATACCGATGGTTTCCCATGTCCTATAGCTCCATTGTGTCATGGACTGTCATCATATCTGCTATTTCACCTTCATGAAGAAGGAAAGGGAAAAAAACATCCCTCTATATAAAGAATTTCCCAGTCTGTCCCCACCCTGGTTTGTATGAGGGACTCGTGCCAGTAAAAACTACCTCTATACTGGTGTCACTTGTTTTAAGTGAGTGATCAGAAACTGGAATTTTTGAGGAGATTCCATGGACAAAACGCTATGTTTCGTAGGCTTTTTTCCCCCATTTCCATTCCCATTACTATCAGATCAGCCCTAGTATCTTTTGATTAAAAAGAAATGAAAAACATATTTGCAAATGACATCAGATAAAGGGTCAGTATCCAAAACCTATAAGAACTTATCAAACTCAACACCCAAAAAAACAAATAATTCAGTGAAGAAGTGGGCAGAAGACATGAATAGACACTTTTCTAAAGAGGACATCCAGATGGCTAACAGACTCAATATCATTCATCATCAGGGAAGTACAAATCAAAACACAATCAGATGCCACCTCACACCCCCCAGAATGGCTAAAAATAACAACTCAGGAAACAACCAATGTCAAGGATGCAGAGAAAGGGGAACACTTTTCCACCATTGGTGGGAGTGCAAACTGGTGCAACCACTCTGGAAAGCAGTGTGGAAGTTCCTCAAAAAGTTAAAAATAGACCTACCCTGTATCCCAGCAATTGCACTAATGGGTATTTACCCAAAGGATACAAAAATACAGATTCGAAGGGGCACATGCACCCCAATGTTTATAGCAACACTATTATTTTATTAAATAATAATTTAAAAAGAAAAGAAGAAGTCAGAAGTATGTCAGAACAAAAACACCTCCCAACTTTTGTTTTTCTCATTGTGAAAGGTATCCCTGGTTCAGTGTAGACTATTAGTAAATATAACATTTAAATATATAAACAAGTACATTAATATCATGATAACCCGCTGAGGTGGACTGCATCGAAGGCCCTACTTTACACCCTCTGGGCTTGGGCCCTTCGTCATGTTCTTCTGCCATGCCCTCTCATGGTGGGTGGACATTTTTCTCACAATTTGAAGCTGATCTCCTTTGGCCATTAAGATAGGCAGAAGTCACCTGATGACAGTTTTGAGCCTGGGACTCAAGAGGCCTTTTGTGATTCTGCCAACACCTTAAGAAGGACATGTCCGTGGCACCTGGGGGCTCAGTCAGTTGGGTGTCCAACTTTGGCTCAGGTCATGATCTCACGGCCTGTGAGTTTGAGACCCTCGTCACTCACACTTTGTCTCTCTGTCTCTCTCAAAATAAATAAATAAATAAATAGGTAAATAATAAACATAAAAGAAAAAAAGAAGGACATGTCCAGGCTAGCCCGCTGGCCCTGGGAGGAGGAGGAGAGACTTTGGATGCACAGCTGCCCCCAAACAGGGTCTCAAGCAAGCCCAGTCTGGAGCTGGGACTCAGGTGAAATGCAGACCCCCAGAACTGTGGGGTGGGCCCAGACCGGATCAGCTGAGCCCCCAGACATCCGCTGTGGAGAATTTGTGTTACTGGTCCTGCAGCAAGAGGAACCGATACTCAGCAATCATTCTACATTCCAGGTCTTCTCATTTCAGTTTCTCTCTCTTCCCCCAAGCTGCTCTCACTCCTACTTTTATGTCCCTCTCTGTTTCCCATGTGCCTTTTTAAGAATATGTACACCCACATATGAAATCATGCCATATGTGCAATTCTCTATTTTCATCTTTTACCTTAATAACATTGAAAATCCTCTATAACTGTATTTTTTATAAAGGCATTAGTATTTCTGATAGAGCTCTACCAGAATTCAGGCAAACCCTTAGATTATCAGAAATTTAGATTATCTCCATTTATTTTTATATTGTAAAAAATTTCAATGTCCTTGTTTCCTCATATTTGCCTGTATTTAACAATTTTTCCCTTTAGAGAGATTCGTAGGATTGGAGATACTGAGTCAAATGGAACGAATATTTTAAAGACTTTTGACACAAACTGACAGATTGCTTCCCAGGAAGGTTTTAAGTTTTTACCCTCAACCAGCTGGATGTGAGAGTGACTATCTCTTTGATTCTCACAAACACTTAGTACTTTAGTTAAATGTTTTAGGTAGATTTAAATAAGTGCATCTAGTTTAATTAATATTTCTCTGATTCTTTGAACATTTTTCATATAATTTCACATGTCTGTATTTTCTTTCTCTTAGGGCCATTTACACATTTTTTCCCCTCATATAGCAAAAGTATCTGTTGATGATAAATTTTGACCTAGAGAATCCTGTTTTATATTATTATGTGATCATACCTATGTTGCTTTCCTTTGAGATTTTTTTTTTTTTACCATTGTTTTGAAGACTCTTTTGAACCTTCACAGGCTTCTACCTCTTGCCCTTGTGAATATTATAGATGCAAGGGCCTGGGACAGCACCCCTCCCCTACCAAGACAGGCCATGTTTGCATGCAGATTATGCCAAGTTTAAAAAAAATCAAGGCTCTAAGGACTTGACCCTCCCCCACAACCACCCAAAATAATTTAGATAGAGGACCTGCTCCAGGAAGAGAGATGTCATCATAGAAAACTACATTGTGATATGAGCTGGGTGTGGTGGTCAGGGATGAATGGTGCAAGGCCTGTTTGATCAAAGTCCTCTCTGTGTCCTATTGTTTCTGGATGACCCAGCAAACATTTATTGACTGAACATTTACTCTTTTTCATCTTCCTGTGAATTGCATTTCTTCCTTTGAATTCCCTACCTTCTTCTCCTTAGTTCAGGACATACCTCATTTTGTCTGACTGACTTTACAATCTCATGTCTGTGTGGATTCCCCATACATATGAAATCAAAGTTGATTTTCTCTGTTAATCTCTCATGTCAATTTAATTCTTAGTCCAGCTAGAAGAGTCTTGAAAGACAGAGAAAAAAATGATATCCTCCCCTACTTGGACAATCAGTGAATACTTAGTGAGTGATTTTCTTGGCCAGCATTCTCTAATTCTAATTTCTTTTTCTACAAAATATCACTTCTAGTCATGTTTTCTCCACCCCTGTATTTGATTTCTGGACTCCAGAATCACATACAGAGTGTAGGTAATAAGCAGGGTTGAAAAATGGGACGATCGGACAGCTCAGAATTCTTGGAGGTGGCAATGAGAGGCTGGAGGAGGTGGTGGTCCGTAGCACTCCCTGAGGTGAAGAGGACCTTGGTCACAGAGCCAGGATCCTACCTGCATCTCGGGAAAGGCTTCATGTCTGTGTCCAGCCCCAAGGATCCACAGCCTAGAGCCTGGGCCCTCTGTACCCCCTTCTTCGGCAGCGTGCTGGGGAAGCTGTCCTGGCCCCAGGTCCTGCTGGAGGCTGGGAAAACGGAATGAGAGACACCTATTTAGGCCTCTGCTGCCCAATAGTACATCTCCCCAACTAGAGAAAAAGAACATATTGGCCACCCTTAACTCCTCCCTGAGGAGTCTGGGATTAGAGAAGAATGAGATTATTGACATGACAGAGAAACTGATAGACTCCCTGAAGCTGTACCCACACAGCCATCCCTGCCTCAGCAGGTAAGTGACTTCTCAGTGACAGGTACAGAATATGCCACCCAGAAACATTCCAACTTGGCATATTGATTATTTTGAGCTGAAGGCAATCGAGAAGAAGCAGACACAAGGAAAGATCTCTTCCCTTACCTTATTTGCCTAAAAGCAGGACATACATTTTAAAGGTGTCTTCCTCCCTTCTCTAGGAAGGACAGAAGCTAATCACCAAGGTAGCTCTAGATTTTTATCAGCCTGGAGTTGGCACCAAAGGAATTTACACAAAAGCCTTGCTAAAACCAGCCCTTATCAACCACCACAACTTATATATTATAATATGTAATCAATATATTATATTTACCTTCTCACAATTTGACACCCTAGAAATTCAAAGATAATTTCTTTTGTCTTGTAGCCTCTCTAAAAATTTATCATTATTTTATTAAGATGCTGTGTAAGCCCAAGTTCTCAACACTGTACCTTCCTTTACTCCTCGCTGAGTGCTTTCATGTGTATTGCCATGTGCATGTTAATGCTCATCTTTTGCTAGTTTAATTTACTGGGCTCCAGCCAAGAACCTAAGTTTGGTAGAAGAAAGGAATTTTTTTCTTTCCCTCTAGCAGGCTGGTTGTGCCCTGTGAGGGCTGTGTCTGTTAGGGCCTCCCTAACCGGCGTTCCTTCTGTGGCCCAGTAACTGCCTTGTGCCCTCACCCTTCAGGCCTGGGATGGGGAGATGTTGGCCCAGTACTACTGCTCCAGGGAACTGTGTTAGCCTTTGTGGTAACATGTATCTGCCCATACCTTTATATATCCTCCCTTATTACATTCCTCTCAAATTTTCCATTTAGAAGGTGTCTGCTTCCTTTTGGGATCCTGGTCAATACACTGCTATACAGTTCACATTCCCTTTGGGAAACCCAATTCTCAATCTCAGTTTCTGTTCCTTGAAATGAGGGGGGTGGACTGTCTCCAGTGAGCCTTTGGGCCTCTGGGACTGGTTGCAGTTCATGAGCCATATCTGAGCTTTCTCACCTCCATGTTTTTGTCAACACTGTTCTCCAGGAACATCCTTCCTCAATGCCTCTGCCAGTTAGGACCCTACCATTATTTTAAAGCCTATTTTAAAGGATACATCATCACACAACCTTGCAGACATCTTTAAACCTCTACAGCCTTTTATCACAATCACTTGTTCTTCTTGATTCCTTCAGCTCTGTATCAAAGATGGCAATAAATATCTGTTGAGTGAAACTATCCTCAGGTTGTAGGTCATGACACTGGCTGGAAAGCCTGGGTGGCTCAGTCAGTTAAGCATACAACTTTTGATCTCAGGGTTGCAAGTTCAGGCCCCATGTTGGACTCTGCACTGGGTGTGAAGACCACTTAAAAAAAAAAAGAGCCACTACTTGCAGGGAAGAGCCCAGTCTAATTTTCTTTTTTTTTAATTTATTTCTGAGAGAGAGAGACAGTGTGAGCAGGGGAGGGTCAGAAAGAGAGGGAGGTACAGAATCCAAAACAGGCTCCAGACTCCGAGCTAGCTGTCAGCACAGAGCCCAACACGGGGCTCGAACCCATGAACTGTGAGATTATGACCTGAGCCAAAGTCGGACACTTGACCGACTGAGCCACCCAGATGCCCCAAGCCCAGTCTAGAATACAGGTCCCTGGATTCCAAAAGATGGGGAGGAAGAATTTCCTCTGTCCTTCAAGGTCCTTCTAGCTGGACTAAATCAAATTGACATGAGACAGATTAACAGGAGAAAATCAAATTTAGTTTTATATGCACAGAGAATCCACACAGACATGAGATTCCAACGCAGGGAAAGTGAGGTATATGTGTCCTCCTAAACTAAGGAGAAGTGGTAAGGGTCTGGGACTTTGAAGGGAAAGAAAGCAATTCACAGGAGGAATGGGACTAAACGTTTGGTAAACAAATGTTTGTTGGGCCCACAGAAACAATGAAACATAGAAGACTTTGATCAAATAGGCCTTGCTAGGCTCCTCCCTGTCTACCATACCTAGTTCATATTACAATACTGTGTACTACATGTACATATTACATTCTTTTAGGCAGTAGAAAGAGAAGAAAAGAGCTTTTCCTGAGTCTGCTGCATTTTGATTGCTTCTAAGTCAAAGTGATCTTCATGCCAGAGTGGCCTATTTTGGGGCAGCAGTTGCCCTTGGCACCTTCACTAATTTGCCTTTGTATGATCCTTCTTTCTGGAGTCCCTGATCCTTTAGGAACCCAGGCCCCATGACTTTAGCAGGAGAGTCAAGATTCCTGTCCCCTTGCCTGACAAGAGACTATTTGTAAGTGTTCTAGGCAACCTAACAACCTAAATAAGGAAATCAATGGAAGTTTCTGGAAGGAAAGACTGTTGTAGCTTTCCTACAACTGTAGAGGGATTAATGGGGAGGTTATTGCAGGGTGGTCTCTGAGACTCAGATCTCCTGCACTGATATCCCAGCTCTATCATGTAAGTTAGCCTCTCTGAAACCCAGTTCTCTCATGTTTAAAATGGAGGTATGGGTGCCTGGATGGCTCAGTCGTTTAAGTAATTGACTTTTGATTTTGGCTTAGCTCATGATCTCACAGTTTGTGATTTTGAGCCTGGCATCAGGTTATGCAATGACAGTGTGGAGCCTGCTTGGGATTCTCTGTCTCTCTCTTTCTGACCCTTCCCCCACCTCTCTCTCTCTCTCTCTTTCTCTCTCTCCCCCCTCAATAAATAAACAAACTTAAAAAATAAAAGTAAAACGGAGCTAGCAATAGTATCTACCTCATAAAGTTATTGTGAGGATTAACTTAGATAGCAGATAAAGTGCTTGCCTTAGGAGCAGTATATACAAAGCATTCAATATGACTACTACCAATTGTTATTAAAAGGGGATGAAAGGAGGAACAGACCATGAATCCAAATTCATGGAGAGAAATCAAGTCTACACAAGCAAATAAGTCCATCTTAGCCTCTTGGTCAACTTAGAGGAAGAACAAGGAGCCCACGTGAGTACACCCCAGAAGAGACGGTATATCAGAGGGAGTGTTGGAAGGAGGTGACCCTTAAACTCTAGGGTCAGCCAGAGTGAATGTGACCTCATTCCCATGGGTGGGAACAAACCCAGTAAATGACATGAGTTCTGATGAGTTGACTCAAATCAGTGAACCTCTTGGTAAACCAAGGTAGCTGAAGCAATGGGGGAAATTATTATGGGCAGAGCGTCCTGAAGCCTTCAGCTGGATTTGAGTGGTTAAGGCTTTAAATCAGGTGTTGGTTATGAAAAATAAGATTCTCAGTATTAGGAGCTAAGAGCCACACCCACAGAATGTAGCTGCTGTGTGTAAGCTTTGGAGCTGATGTCTGTCCCCACCTTGTACTTTGGTGCTCCTCATCCAAGGGGGGAGGCTGTGGCTTCAGGGGCATGTTACTTGCCAGTTGAAGGTTTTGCTGACAGGTAGGAAGAGGCTCTTCACCAACCTGAACAGAGACCTTAGAAGAACAAATAGTCCTGTAACTTTCCTTCAGTTCCAGGCTCAGTAAAGAACAGTAATGGACAAGGGCATCATTGCTGAACTGAGATATGAGCACCTGCAGTGATCTGAGCGTGGGATTCTGTGTCTGGGTGTGGCCAGGTACCAGTGACTGCATGGTGCTCCCGGGGGCCCCAAGGGTCTGCTCAGTAGCAGGTAACACCTGATAGATACCATGGTCTCCCTTCTCTGTGCCCTTACAGGCGCCTCAGGAACACACGTCACTGTGATGGGCTCTTCCCTGCTGCTCTCGGGGTAGGATCCATGAATCGTGCTTCCCTTCTAAGCTCTGTGTAAGAGGCCAGATCAACAAGGGCCTGGGGAGATTGTCTCTGACACATATCTTGGTGGAGATAAATAGCTGAAAACAGGGGTAAACCCAGGAGCACAGGCAGCACACTCTGGTTTTCTAGCAGAGTGCAGAGCCACCCGAAGAGTGTGAGGCCCAAGTGTATACGTGTGTGTGGTGTATGTGCATGTGCGTGTACGCATGAGCGTGTGTAGTATGTAAGTATGAATGTGCGCATGTGTGTGATGTGTGCATGTATGTGTGCGTCTGTGACTGGTGTTTTGTGTGTGTAAATGTGCACATGTGTGCGGCTGTGGGGTGTGCGCGTGTGTGTGTGTGTGCGCGTGGCAAATGAGTCTCCGCGAGGTGGGGGTGACAGTGAAGCTGTCTGAACACACAGCTACGCTCTGTTGCCCTGGTGAGCGTTCACCTTTCTGCTGGCCCCAGATGGTTGCGCATGTGCATGAGAGAGCGCCGAAGCCAGTGCCACAATCGCTCTGTCAAGCTCGGGCTGAAAGCCCAGGGGTGTGACGCTGGGGGTGCAGCCTGGGGAAGGAGAACATAGAGAACAGCCTCAGACACAATCATCTCATCCGACCACAGACATCCCACTTCACATTTCCTTGACTTTTCTCCGTTTTGAAGCCTTGTGTGTGAGCTTTTTGCCTTTTTATCCACTTTTACCTTTCATCCCAGCACCTGCTTCTGTCTCTCCTTCCTTCAGGCAGTCTCTCCAATGTGCTAATATATGCAGATTGAACCTTGAAGGACACATTGTGGTTTTTTACATGTGAGTAGTTAAATTTTTATCCATAATCTCTTCCCTCCTTATACATCTTCTTTTTTTTTCTTTTATTTTTTGTTTTCTAGCTTTACTGTGTTGTCATTAGCGTAACACCGTAAGTTTAAGATGTGCCACGTATTGATTTTAAATTCAGAAATGTTCAAAGGTATACCTTTTATCACCATATCTACTCTGTTACTTCTGACTGCTTGAACACTTCTAAGTGTTGTGTTTCGCTTGTGGGTCCCCTGGGCCACTTAGGACACCCACTGCCAAGCCCCACGCTATGTTGGGGCTCACAGCCTGCAGTCTCCAAGAACTGCACTATGACTTGCTGAAATAGCCACCCACAGGGAACCTGATAGGCTACAGGATAGTTTTGCCAAAGTATTATTTAATTGTTTTCTTCTTTGGAATTTGCTAAACTCTCATCACATAATTTTTTAGAAAAAAAGCGTTCCTCATCAAAAATAGTGCAAGCCTCTACCTTCAGTTAGCAATAGCTAACTTCTGCACTCAGCTCCTACCAGTGCCCTCGGAGAGGATCTTTGGGACATGGGGTTTTACAGCTTTGTCTCAGGCAAATTTCAGATTTTGTCTTTCTCATTCTCATGATCAGTTGGCCAGATGTCCCAGCCCAGAAGTTTAAGAAGAGGGAATGGTTTCAGAGAAGGTCAAGGAAAGCTCTTAATAACACTGCTCCATCCCTGGGGTTTCATAGACCACATATGCAGCAAGCACACCAGGGGGGGTTCTGGCATCTGTCTGACCTGCTCCCCGACTCCTCTTCCCTAGTGCCATTGAGGACAGATGGCTCTCTTATTCTAGGGCTGCCATCATGGAAAAAGTAAACAAGTGATACAGCCTTGCAGAAAACAGCCTGGTGGCCCCCTTCTTACCTAGACTGGCCTCCCCTGGGCACTCACAGGGAGGGAGAGGGGCCAGGAGCGAAGGGACATCAACACTTGCCACTTATAACATGGAGGCAGGGTCACCCACCATGGCAGCTAGAGCTGTGTTTTACTTAGTAGCCCAAACACAGGGACATCAGGGCCATTCAAGGGTAGCTTGGAGACCACATACCCAGAGCTGCCATCTGCTAGACCCAGGACCATGCTCAGTTTCGGGCTCTCTGATATCTGAGTGTGGCTCTAAGTCAGAGCATGTAGTGAGGCCCAGGGAAGTCCCTCCACCCTCAAGGCCTGCCTGAGGACTCAGAGTCCAGATGGAAACTGAACACATGTTTCTTTGCAGTAAAGCTCAACACCCAGGTCCTAAAGGAAGAAGGCTTTACAAGAGTTTAGACTCTTGGGGGTGGCGGGAGTATTTCAGAGAATGGGCTGTCATGAGAGGGGCTTCCACGGGGTCCACAGAAGAGCAAATGCATTTTCACCCACAGACTTGGGAGGCTGCTGGGATTTGGGGCAAGTGGACTTTAGCTTCCCATAGCTTACTTTTTTGAACAGATGGAACTTTTGCGAGGAGCATGTATTACATACGCCATTTAGAAAAATACAGATAAAGGTATAAACCAGGGAGACTCTCAAAAGCTGTAGGGCCTTTGTTACCCTGGTACCCTACACAAGGCCAGCCCTAAAACAGTGGTGGACATGGCCAGAAGGAAAGCTGGACAGACATTGCTCTGCCATGTGTTATCTGAGTCTCCTTCTCCTCTGGCAAATCAGGTCCCTTCCTGGGCCCAGGACCATCTTCTGTCATCCGAATATGCTGTCCAGGTATGACACAGGGGTGCTAAATGCCAAGTGAGATGCCCAGTTAGGTGCTATACAAAGTTAGAGTTCCTATTATGACTTTCCACCTGCCATCACGGTCCCGCACCTGGGCACCTGCCTCTCACCTAGAGGAAGCTGCCAGGGCCCCCTGGGTGAAGTTGCAGCGTGGAGGCCCCACAATTCCTCACTCTGCTCGGTGTCTGTTCTGGCGGCAGCTTTGGCCTCCACCTCAGGGTCTCCATCCTTGCCCAGTGCTTGCCGCTCAGTTGTGCCAAGGTGCTGCAGAAAGTCCTGGAAGAACCAGGGCTGGGTCAGTCTACAGGTTATGAGTGTCTTTCTTGGTTAAAGCTGTTTCCAGAAGTGGGTGAGTGGGGCCCCTGTGTTCCGGGGCGGTAGGGATGAGGGTGGCTTGGTTGTTTGGGAATTACGGCTGACCTGGAGCCCCTGGAGCTGCTGGCTGGCGCCCCTGTAGAAGGCCAGTGCCTCGCTCCTGTGCTTGCTCAGCTGGGCTGCCACGTGTAGGCTCTGGTCCTCTAGCTTGTCGTAGAGAGTACGGACGCTGAAGTCCTCCAGAGTCTCCAAGGAGAGTGGTTCTCCTGTAGGAAGGAGGCTTAGAGCAAGACTGGGATGGGGCAGGAGATGGGCGTGGCTGCGCAGCTCCCCCCTCCCTTCCAGGGTTTTGCAGGCTGGATGCACGGACAAATGCGAACAGAGGAGGCATGTGCAGGGGGAGGGTTGTGCGGGGGGTGGGGGGGGGAAGGCAAGGGAGGCGGCAGCAGACCTTCCCATGCGGGAGGCAGCAGTGGCTGTGGAGGGAACTTCTGTGTGAGGGGGACAGACCAGGGGCCCTGCAGCCTCTGTCCGTCTGGCTTGGTGTCACACCGACTTGCGTGGTGGGCAGTGCCTCCCTTTGGTTGAGGGTGGGTCTCACTGGCCTGGAAAAGCCAACAGCTCCTTGAGGAGGCTGTTTTCTGGGCCCTCCAGTCCACATTTGGCTGAATAACCTTTGTCCCTTTCCTCCACTTGAACTCATCTCACTGTCCCCATGTCCCCTTAACCACCCTGTGCTCCCCTTCGACGGCTCTCGCCCCACCTGTCCCCACGGCTCTGTGGACTCCTATTTAGCGTCAGGTGTCCCACAGGGCCCGGCAGACAGCAGAAGGTCACTAAGTGCTCGTCTGGCTGAGGTGCCTCCTCTGGGCTTCTGGCTGAGTGTGACCCGGGCTGAGCCCAGGGGAGTGAGTCAGACAACTTCACTGAGGTTTCTGGGCCCCAGAAGGGTTCTCTCACACCCTGAAGGAACCTCCCTTTGCCAAGGATCTTAAACCCCTTGACCTCCTTCTCCCTCAAGCCCACTCTGCTCTGCTAGGACACGTGTCAGAAGGGGGCCCCTTTCTGACAGCCTTTCCCCCATGGAGCTGGGTCTTGAAGGAAGAAGGAAGAAGGAAGCGAAGTGGTGTTTCTCCCATGCTGGCCCGGGGCTTGCTCAGAGAGTGGCCTCAGTAGTGTGAACATGAAGCTGAGTGAGTATCTGCTGCCAGGCCATACATTTCTCTTTCCCAGGCTTGGTGGGTGCTTGAGGGGGAAAAGGTGGCCCCATTCATGCAAAGTGATGTGGGAGTTCTTGTTCTGGGCAACAAATGTGGGCCTGGCCCCTACATGGCCAACTTTGCCTTCCTTTCCTTTCTGCAGCCTGGTTAGGGTCTGTCCCCTGAGCTACCAGCCACTCAGGCGGTGTGAAGGCAGCTTTCCAGACCTCTTACACCGTCAAGCCTCTTGTGGCCATCACACACCCCACTATATAGGGCACTTCACCCTCCCCTAGAGGGCCAGTCCTCGAACCAGAAGAGTCTTGTGCCAGCACCTCTTCCTGTGGGAGGTCTCAGCAACGGACACTCCACCCTCAGCCCCGAGCCTTAATGGAGGCTTCCTTTGAGGGTTAAAATCCTGGGATTGATCCCTGACTCTGTGTACCCTTCCCTGTGTCCACATACACGCTTTGCACAGCCCACCCTGCTGATCACCCCATAGGGGTGCCTGGGGTTGGGGGGGGGATAGATTTGTCCTGGACTCAGTTCTCTTTGCCTGCATCAGGGAGGTACTTTCCTCACTGTCCAGATTCATCATCAGGTAAGAGATGATTAGCCTCTGAGCACCAGGCAGAGTCAGAGTCGGGACAGCACAGAGCTAGTCCTGCCTTGGATGGTGCGTGTGTGCGTGCGTGTGTGCATGTGTGTGTGTGTGGTGTGAGGAGGCCTGTGTTCAGGTTCGAAACCAGCAAGACTCCAGGGCTGGTCTAGTCCCATGACTGTCCTTTGTAACCACTCACTTCACTGCCTCCTCCCTTGTGCGCTCAACGCTTCCTGGGGTCTCTGCAACGCTGTAGTTAAGGACTACAGCCGGAGGCAGACTCTACGCTGTGTGAACCCACATCGGTGAGAGCTTACAGAGCCCTCCCTTTGTCCCTTTGTTTATGTCTAAAGTGAGGCAATCGTTATTCCCAAACAGATGAAGGGAACTGGCAGAGCCTCCTCTCCATGCCCCTCCGCACACACTTCCTCCTCACAGTAGGTGCTGGGGGCCGAGTGGGGATGCGGTGGAAGGTGTGGCCCCCTCTAGGTCCTCATGAGAACCAAGCTGATGTCCTGATCTCCAGGTGAGAAGAGGAACTGACCAGGGCAGGTGAGGGATCCTGTAAAGGAATTCTGTGCAGCAAGCTTCATTTCTGCCCCTGTGGTGCGCTAGGGAAAGGTAGCCATGAGATTGAAGTATTGCCCTTGGGTTCCCAAGAACTCCTGACCAGCACAGGAAAGATTAGAGAATTCTTGCTTCAAGCCCAGCCGCACCTACCTTCTAGCCCTGTCACTTGGGGACCTTTGGGAAGCCACTCACATTTCCTTGAGCCTCAGTCTCTTTGCCTATAAAATGGGGATGGTACACCATCTCAAAACACCCGCTTCTTGGTGCCATTGTGAGGATCAGATGGACAGCATGAGGCGTCTTATAAACCGTCAGTGCTATAGAAATATGAGATGTTCCCCAGAGTGTGTACCTGGGGCGCAGGTGGGGGTGGAGGGCAGGTGAGAGTAGAAGGGGAGTTGCTGCATACGAGTGGTACCTGTGTCCCAGGTAACGGCTTTCTCCTCGGAATCAGCTCCTTCCCTAGAGAACTGCGGACCGAGGTCTTCATAGAACAGCAGGCTGGAAAGAAGCACCCATATCCAGGTGGCACAGAGCTCACCGGGACCAGGCGTGCCAGCGCTGAACATCACAGGCCAGCTCAAGAAGGCGTTCTTGGGGCGCCCGGGGGGCTCAGGCATCCAGCTGCAGCTCAGGTCATGACCTCACGGCTCATGCGTTCAAGCCCCGCGTCGGGCTCTGTGCTGCAGCTCAGAGCCTGGAGCCTGCTTCGGATTCTGTGTCTCCCTCTCTCTCTGCCCCTCCCCCACTCATGCTCTGTCTTTGTCTCTCTCTCAAAAATAAATAAATATTAAAAAAAAAAAAAAAGAAGAAGGTGCTCTTTCCTGAGTCTCCAGGGATACCACTGGGGTCATGAGTGTGGGCAGGGCCAGGGTGGGGAGGGGCCACACATGCTGTGGCCCCTAGGCTGGGAAAGGAGTGAAGGGTGGAAGGGGACTCACCTGTCCCTGAGAGGCACATACTCAGCAGGCACATGAGGCTCCCCAAGGCCCCTCCACTGGGGCTTCCAAGCCCTTACGGGGCAGGCCTGGGCCAGGGAGGGTCTCAGCACAAGGCCCAGGCCTGTGAGCAGCACGGTTGCAGAGCCAACAGCCAGCAGCACCCCTGCAAGGTTAGGACAGAGAGGCAGAGGCCACATGATGGCCACTCAGAGCCTCCGCGGGCTTTATGCCTCAGCCGCTGCGGGGCGGCCTTCTTCCCGCCCACCTGGCCAAGGAGCCACGGCAGACCTGCTGTCCTAGGCTCAGCCTGGAAAGCTAGGTGAGGTTGCTGGCGCATAAAGATAGGAGGGAAAGAAGATGGACGGAGAACACAGAGGAGGTTGGAATGGGCATCTCGGTGAGCCTATGACTCCAGGCAGCGACCCTGTTGACCATGAGACCCTGTTCACAAGGACAAGTCCCAAAACTGAGGGGCTTGAGAGGTGGGAAGAAAGGGAAGGACCCCAAGAGGGAAATTAAGTATTCTTCACCTGGCAAATGAAGCCCCAGTTCAGGCTGTCCTCGTGCCCACCTGAAGTCTTTGGGGCCATGCCCAGAGTCGCAGACAGGGCTGCACACGCCCCTGAGGGTCCTGCTGTGCGAGCTCCTCCCACCGCCCCTCTGGGTCATGGCTACTCGGGCCCAGGGTCAGTACCTGTGATCACCGTCCAGTCTGGGCCCAGGTTTGGCAGGCTGTGCCTGAGGACCCCGTGCCTGGCCAGCTGATACGGGGAGGAGGGCTGCACGGGGGACAGGCCGGGGTCGCAGGCCACTCCTCTCTTCTTCACCAGCACCACGATGGTGCTCTCAGGCAGCCCGTTGTCTCGAAACACATACGTGCCCGGATCTAGGAACTGGTGGGCAAACCTGGGGAAGGAAGGGCCAGAAAATGGGAGCATCAGCTTTGCTGGGCTGCTCATACCGGGCGGAGGGTGTGGGCTCCTCCCCACGCACAGGAATAACGTGGTCTAGGAAGCTGCCCATGACTGTCAATCCCCTCCCATCCATGCATTCAGGAAGCTTCACCTGCCCTTGGTCTTTTCCGGCCTCACCTCCCACTCGGCTGACAGCCTCACATCCTCCTCTGTGTCTTCCTGGTGCCTCCCTAGCTGTGACCTACACGTGAGGAGCCATGGCCCCTCCAGGTTCCCAGGCAGCTCAGCGGAGATTACCTCGAGAAGTTGAGGTGAGTCTCTCGCACTAGGTGGCCGAGTCTCCTGAAGGTCCCAAAGTCCCAGGTGGGGTTGCTGTTGAACAAATGCTGCCTCTGGTACACAGGGTAGTGACTCGCGGAGCGACCTGGGGAATAAACCTGTGTGGGGCTGGCTTCCCGGGGCCCCTCGGCCCCAGCCCTGGGCAGCCCGCGTCCAGGCAACTCCGGGTCTGTCTTCAAGACAGTGAGGAAACTGAGGAGGCATGGTTTTCAATGAAATGACATGTTTTGTCCTTTCACATGTATGATGACACATTTAACAATCTTGGTGCCAAGACAAGACCCCTTTCCCCTCAGCCTACAGAGTGAGCCCGCCAGCACATGGCAGAGCCCCGCCCCTGACGCCCTTTGGGGGCGAGCACCGCCAGATGCCCTGGCACTGTCGGAGCTGGGACCTGCTCCCCTTTGTGCCCCTGACAGGCTGTACGTGCTGTGGGGTGGCTGGGAGAGTGAGCAGCTAAGGGGGTAGACGGGGCACCCGGGAACACAGGTGGGCCCAGCCAGGCACGTCCCTCTTCACAGAAAGTCTGTTCCTATGACAGGTGTCAGCTCTTCTTCCCGAGCACCCTTAACCCTCCTGAAAGGCGCAGCTCTGATCTCACTTCCCCCACCATGTGGAGGAGGGGGCGCAACTGCATTCACTTCACAAACAGCAGGGCTGAGAGAGGACGGAGGTTGTCCCAGGTCCTGATGGCTTTACGGGAGACCTGGCCGGACACCGGGGCACCAATGCTTGAGTTCACCGTCCGGGATTTGTCTCCCCCTCCGTTTCGCCTTGGCACTGCTTTGTGGGGAGGAGCTTCGGTAGTTGCGTGACACATGAAAGGGAAACACTTCATCTACTTGGGCCAAGTGGCCATCCTCCTGTGTAAATCAGGTTAAAAGTATGCCACACATCCAGTGATCCATCTAAGACCAAAGACTGAGACATAAATTCCAATACTAGATACTGGTATCTTCAGCTTTGCCTGAGGGAGCACTTTAATCTTTGAACCTTTAGTGTGTTGTTTGTACAGGGCATTCTCTGTACTAATTTATTACGGTTATAAAACAATTAGCAAATCAGCCTACTTTGGCACTTATCTTCTATTCCACACCTCTCTGCTCCATATTTTTCCTCCTCAAAATCCATTCCTTTCAAAAAAAAAAAAAAAAAAAACCACCACCACCTGTCGGAGGGGGAAATGCCCCAACCCACACTGGCCTGGAGCTGGCTGCTCTCTCGTCTCTCTCACGTCTTTAGAGCTGCAGACCTGAACCTGTTTCAGCCTAGCCACCTGGTGTCCTGGGACGTGTGAGTGGGGCAGCACTATGCCATCTGCCATCTGCGTGTGAGCAGGTGGGCTGGGCGTGCAGGGGGGATGCCCATCCCCCCCACAGCCACACCCTGGGGAAGCCCAGGCAGGAGAATGGGAGGGAATGAAGATCTCCTGAAGGCCTGGACTGCACACAATGCATGGAAGGTGGATGCTGAACATGGAGGGGATGAGACCCACTTCTATACGTGAAGGCTGTCTCATGGCGGAAGACTCAGTCCTGTTCTGTAAGGTTCTCAGGGACAGGAGTCACAGGGAGACTGACTTCTGCTCGTTGCAAGGAAAACAATCCTTATAAACCAACATTTCTCAAGATGGATGGGGCTACCAGGAGAAGTTGAGGAGTCTGCCTCTGGGGGGCTTCAGGCCCTGAAAGGATGACTGTGTGGCACAGAGCAGACATGCAGGATGGCCGGCTGAGAGCAGAGGTCATTTTGGTGAGTCCCTGCCTCCACCCAAAGCACAAAAGTCTGACACCCATGGGCTGCAGGGAATCGTAGCAAAATGTTGGAGCCACAGCAGCTGCTCCAGTAAGTGAAGAGAGGTCCCCAGTAAGTGACCAATCAGGTTGGGAGCAGGGGACAGCACAGGCCTGTGACTTGCTACTTCAAAGGTGCAGTCTATATGTGATGTCACAGAAAAGCCAGGCAGGGGAGGGGTGAAAGAGCCAGGGCCTGAGGGAAGGTCCAAGGTACTGCAGTGGGGACTCACTGTGGGGAAGAATATGAAGCTGGAAAAGAATCACATCACCCTCTGTCAGGCAGATCACTGGGTTTGGAATACGGAGACGGATGCCAGGGTCCTGAGGGACAGGGTGCTCCAGGCCTGTAGTCCGATGATGCCTTTGCAGCCAGCGGCTGGATACAGGTGGCTCTGGGAGAGTTGGGGAAGGAATTCTGAGGGACCTGGGCTTGTCTGGGGAGGTTCACCCACCTGCCGACTAGTCCCGTCCTGTCTCCACTCCCTTTTCAGAGCAGTTTCAGCTCTTCCGGGGCCCTCATCTCCCCAAAGAGTGTCTTCCTATATGACCTTCTGTGATTCCTGCCTGACTCTCACCTCCTGAACACCAAGACAGGGCTGAGAAGTTTCTGAGGGGCCACAGGTGGGGTCTTCAGCTCCCCATCCCTTATTGGAAGAACACATCCATGTCCTTTACCGCCCTTCACTCTCTCTAGGAAAGTCTGGGCTTGGTATTCCTCCTCTGCTTACCAAAGAGGAAGGCGCCAAGCATGTCCACTCTGGAGATGACAAAGCCGAAGATGCCATGGGGGCCACACTGGACCAGATGGACCCTGGCATTCTCTTGGAAGAACTGGTCTGGGCCCAGAGTGCTCGATACTTCCTGAGAACATACAGCACGGCATTATGTACTTGGGGAGGGCCAGAGGGGCAGCAAAGCTTGCAGAGACGGATGACCAGAAACCCAGACTGAGCCCTTTGGCACAGCCCTTGGTGATGCTGAGTTCAGGGACACCAACTACCTCTCAGAGTATGTTTCCTTCCTTACTGAGACTTGCCCAGGTGGCCTCCTATGCCCAGGGCTCTTATCTTCAAAAAACACCCCTGATTCAACTCTTGTCTCTGTCCTAGGTCATCGTTTGCCCCTTTTCTCTCTATTCACAAAGTCCTACGAACAGAACAACTTCTTCAGAACAATCATCTTTCTATCACCGCAAATTTGCTGTCCAGTGTCACACCAGTGACCCTCCCTACCCTTCCAGTGGCAAACAGACAGAGCCACCTGGAACCTTCTGGTAGGCCAACATCAGGGTGAGCGGGACCTATGTTGCATCTGGGCCCTGGTCTTCTGCCCCTCCCACTCTGATGAAGCATCAAGACCCAGAAGACAGCCTCAGCCAACACTGTTGTGGCCAAGAGAAGGCCTTGCCTGTGGCCAGAGTCTGGCCTTTGTGAGAGGCTCAGGCTCACACCATTTCTGAGACCACAGTGAGTGGCTTCATGCCCCCGAGCCTCACTTTGCACTCTGTAAAGTCAAGCTGTTGCTTTCTCGGCACTCTTATGGCATTCAAAGCGGGTGGTTGACGTTATCAACATAAGAAATACCACTTCTTACTTCCTTTCTGCCTTTCTCTCCAGGCTACAGAATGGAAATTCATGCAGATAGCAACAGACTAGGAAAGATTGGTTATCAAATGGACTTTCTTTTTTAAAAATTATTATTATTAATTACTATTATATTAACGTTTATTTATTTTTGAGGGAGGGAGAGGAAGAGACTGAGTGTGAGCAGGAAAGGGGCAGAGAGAGGGAGACACAGAAAATGAAGCAGCTCCAGGCTCTGAGCTTTCAGCACAGAGCCCAACATGGGACTTGAACTCACAAACTGTGAGATCATGACCTCAGCCAAAGTCGGACACTTAACCCACTGAGTCACCCAGGTACCCCTCCCTTTTTTTTTTTAAGTTTATTTTGAGAGAGAGAGACAGAGACAGAGACAGAGTCAGAGCATGAGCAGGGGAGGAGCAGAGCTGGGGGGAGAGAGAGATCCCCAGCAGGCTCCACACTGTCAGCGCAGAGCCTGATGTGAGGGTCACTCTCACATGAGATCACGACCTGAGCCAAAATCAACACTCGGATGCTTAACTGACTGAGCCACCCAGATGGTGCTCCCTCTTCTGCTGCCTGGTTTCTGCAGCCAGGGTGCCTGGCTTCTTTCCCCTTGTCCCCAGCAGGCAGAGGCTACCCTTCTATCCCAGCCCTTCCCTGAGGTGAGCTCACCCTTTGGTCACTGTCTCCAGCCTTGCCCTTCACGCTGAGGATCAGCTCCCTGTTGGAACCCCAGGCCAGGGAAAGTTGGGGGGCCTTAGCCAGACACTGGGCATCACAGAGCTCTTCTGCTGAAACGTATTCCTGGCACTGGCAGCTGCAGGAGAGGAGAGGATGGGAGGTCTGCCCTGGTGGGTATGGAGCAGCTGCCCTTCCGGACACCCCTCCACCAGTATAGGTCCCTCCAAAAGGATCTGAACTGCCTAGGCTTCCTGTGCAGTGACTGCACTTTCAATGGAGGTCCATGATGACTCATTAAAATGCACTCTCTCTGGCCCCTGCTTCTGTGCCAGCGAGGCATCTTCCAGAATGGGAGCAGTGCCTGGGACAGATCCTAGCTGACAAGCTCAGCATTTTTGTTTTGGGCATCCTGCTGAGGCAAGGGTGAGGAGAGAGTTGTTCAGCCTGGAATGGTCTATTCAGTGGACCTCCTAGCACAATGGCTCCCTGGCCCCGCCTGCTGGGGGAGACCATTCAGTCCACAGGCCAGGTGGGGGACTGTAGTGCCAGACAAAACCAGAGCCCCTCTCAGCTTGGCATCACCAGGGTCACCTGAACAGTTGGCTCAGGGACATGGGGTGTGGCACGCTCTGCCTTGCTGCCGGTACCTCCTCAGCTCTGGGCTGCTTGCCTCGGCTGGGGTTGGCCTGGTTCCCTTTCTTGGGAAATGCTGACCTGGCCGCTTCTGGAAGGAGCTTGTATTTGGCTCAGTCTCCCATCAGAGCTGGGTCCTGCCCAACCTTTCTGGACGGGTTCTCTGGGGACAGTCAGGACCTATCTGGAGATGGTGAATTTCCTGTTCTCAGCAGTTTTTTTTTGTCACTCACATGCCCAGTTCACCGTTGAGCTTCCCATCCACTGGGTGGCAGACAGAGGAGCAGTTGTGAAGCTGGGGGGACACACACTTGCGGGTGGCGGCCAGGCGTACTTCTCCAGCTGAGCAGCGATCAGCCACCTGTAGGAGAGTGTGGGAGAAGAGTCCTGGCTCTGGCACCCCCTGCAGGCCCAGGGTGGGGGCACTCTCAGTATCAGAGAACATTCCAGGGCCATGGCAGGGCCTCTGGGGAACCGGGCTCCTTTGAGAGGTCATTTAGTCAGCAGCCTAAGACTAGGGTTAGGCTTGAGGGTAGAGGGGACCTACAGGAGTAAGAGAAGACAAGTTTGCTGCCTGGGGGTGGTAACCGGGAGGTCCAGCTCTAGGGAGACTGGGTAGAATGATTGAATTGCTTTCCTAGGATCCTTTATAATGAATGCTGAAGCTTGTGGGTCTATGATAAGGTGGAATGTGTCTTACCATGTGAGCTCTCTGAAGTGTTCTCATTCGTATTGGAGGTAACCCATCCAGCACAAAGGAGTAAACATTAACCAACAGCCAGTGAAAAGTGGCTGGCACGCAGAGGGACCCATACCTGCTACCTCCCCTTCACTCTCCTCAAGCCTTCCTTTCCTAAGCCTGAGGTGTTACCTGGGGCTGACAGTCCTCATCACTGTTGCTCTCCTCACTTTCCAGGCCCCTCCTGCTGTAGGACTCATGTCCTGCCTGGCAGATGCAGGAGCCATCTGACTTCTGGAAGACCCTGTTCAGGCCCCGACATGTGCAGTGGGAGGCACCTGGAGATAGAGAAACGCTATAGCCCATCACAGGCACCTAACAGTGAACCAGAGATATGAGCAACCTCTCTTTCCCTGTCCACAGGGTGATATCTGACTAGCGTTAGGGTTAGGATTAAGGTTAGGGTTAGGGAGATCAGATACCCACCTTTCCCAGAGTCTGACCTTAGGAGGCTTTCTGGGGATTTAATGAAATCTACTGAGTCAATGATTCTCCACCCTGACTTTGAGAAGCTTTGAGAAACATTGATGTCCAAGTCTCCTTTAAGCAAATTAAATAAGAATCTCTGAAGTGAAGCCAGAACATCTACTTTTTAAAAAGTCCATTGATGGGGCGCCTGGGTGGCTTAGTCGGTTAAGCGTCCGACTTTCGCTTAGGTCATGATCTTGCTGTTCGTGGGTTCGAGCCCTTCGTCTGGCTCTGTGCTGTCTGCCAGCTCTGAGCCTGGAGCCTGTTTCAGTCTGTGACTCCCTCTCTCTCTGACCCTCCCTGCTCACGCTGTCTCTCTCTCTCTCCTAGAAATAAATAAAACATTAAAAAAAATAAATAAAAATAAAAAGTCCATTGAGTACTTTAATGTGTAGGTGGGACTGAGAATTACTGAGGTAATTGAAAGCACTTGACACCTCATGGAGAGTGTTGTTCCTATTCTCTATTACACAAAGCCTTGTGGGGTCAATTCTAAAGGGCTGACATAGGCCTCTACCTGCAGACAATAGAAAGAGAGGGTGGTGCAGAGACTGAAGGCCTCTGAAGGAGCTTTAAGGATGGTCTAGATTGGATAGACAGAGCCAAGAGAACAGGGATTCTCAGCAGAGGAGAAAGTGATAAGTGGGGAAGTTCGTGTTTTATATGGGAAACCAAAGGAGTCTAGGCGAACGTTCTTCTGGGAGAGCCACTTGGGGGAGAGGTAGAGATTGGGACCTTGTAATTGACTAGAGTTCATTGCAATTCCAGCTTGTTTGCCTCTGTTGGGACTGTCATCTGCTCAGGAAGAATTAAAAACTCATTGCAAGTTTAGCACATGGCAGCTTCCTGAAGATAATCATTCATACACTGCATAGTAATCCAAAGACCCCTCAGCAGAACTTGTTGAATGGATTGAAAGTTGACTTTTTTTTTTTTCCTGACTTGGTTATATTCTTTCCCCAAATTAATTTAGGGGCCATTGACAAGAGAAATAGTTATTTCTACTGTAGAGAAGGAAGGGAATTACTCAATACTGAAGTGACATAGAGAACTCTCACCAGTGAGTTTATAGATGGTCAAATCCTCTCTAATATCCTGAACTTCAGTATCCTCTTTGGCTCATCTGGACCAGCTCCCTGCTGACTCCCTGGCACTATCAGATCAGATCTAGGAGTCTTCCATGTCTCATTGGGCTTTCACTTGGCTTTGTGGAACCTGTAGTTCCACAGGGGAGCCTTGGGGACTTCTTGGGTGAACGAGTGACTCAATGGGAGCAGCTGTGAGACCTCATCCTTTGTTCAATCTGGGCTACTCTGCTTTTGCTTAATGTTACACATTAATTTCCTAAATAAAAACTATTTTTAAAAACTCTTGGCCTGGCATATATGACTATAGAAATAATCATGGATCTGTATTAAAAGAATCATTGTTTAATATTGTTCCCCAGCCATCTCAACTCAACAAGATTTTACTTATTTTTGAGTTCCTGTTTAAATACAAGCTTTCCCATAAGTTTCCCTGATTCTGCAATTCTTAGTTTGAACTATCCAGGCTTCCTTGTTTTTTTTCTTTCTTATGGCACATGATGCTTCTGCCAATTTGTTATATATTCTTTTCTTTCTTCCTTTTATATTTGTCTTCATATAGTGTTTTTGTGGCACTAACAACAGTAATTGGAGGCTGGTGTTTGTGAGCTAACCTCTAAAATAAATTAACTAAAAAGCTTCCCTACCTCATCCTCAAAGGGAAAAAGGCAGCTTACAAAAATGCATATATTTACAAGACTTTTTTTTCTACCTTTGGCAACGGCAGAGTAGCTTATTTTGAGTCAATCTTCCTATATGACTAGAAAAGCAAGAAAAAAACATAGAAAACCTGTTCGAAGGAATGAAGAACTTAACTGGGGACTTAGGAGAAAACAATTTTGGAGAGAATGAAAATCCAAAGGGGTAAGCCCCACATTTGGCACCACGCTTTCCCAAAAGGCATTTATCACTTCAAAAGTGCCATTGAGAGGCTGAGATGAGCAATAGCTTCAGAACGTCTCATAAGGCTAAGGGGACAAAAATTGGGCCCACCAAGAATAAGGGTCTCTGGTAAACATCATATGCTTTCAGTTTGGACCACTGAAGGGCTGCGCTCAGTGTGGACTGACTGTAAGGAAACCAACGTTATCAATACCTGGAACCTAGCACCAATGTTCTGAATCTCTGATGAACTGAACTCATGCTCTCCAGAATGAAAGCAATTCTTCTATGGAGGAAGGTAACAACATCCAGAATTTCAGATTTTCTCTATAGTTTTCACTCACAGTATGCAGCATTCAATTAAAAAAAAAAACCAACAAAAGATACAAAACAAAAAACAGGCATGCAAAACAGCAAGAATTTTTAAGAAATCAAAGGGGAGAGAGAGAACAATAACAACACCCCAGATGCTAGCTACAAGCTCTCAAGAGATCCAAATATTGGAGTTTTAAGACACGTCATGTACTTTAAACTGTGATTAGTATGTTTGATAAATCAAAAGACAAGATTAAAGGAGAATTTCAACAGGGAATTATAAAAGACTAATATAAATTCTACATTTGATGGGTTCAATAGTAAAAAAATATTGATAGATGCACTTAATAACGTATTGTATGGACCTGAAGACAAAATTAATAAAGTGGGATATAGATCTGAAAAAACTCAGACTGAATCTCAGAAAGAGAAAATAAAAGATGAGCAATGCAGAAAGTGGTGCACGAGACATGTGTGTGGTGAAAAGAGATAACGTGTAATTGGAGAGTCAAAAAGGAAAAAAGAGAGTAGAACAGGGAAAATGTTAAAACTGTAATGGCTGAGAATTTCACACACTGATGAAGTGCATCAAAACATAGATACAAGAAGTGCTAAAGAAAATAAATCAAAGAAGATAAATACAAAGAAAAGCTATAGGAGTTTAGTAGTTATATAGGAATATAGTAGTTATATTCCAAAAAATGAAAAGTAAGGGCGCCTGGGTGGCTCAGTCAGTTAAACGTCTGACCGGCTCAGGTCGTGATCTCACAGTTTGTGGGTCTGAGCCCCGCGTGGGGCTCTGTGCTGACAGTTCAGAGACTGGAGCCTGTTCCAGATTCTGTATCTCCCTCTTTCTCTGACCCTCCCCTGCTCATGCTTGCTCTCACTTTCTCTCTCACTCTCTCAGAAATAAATAAAATATAAAAAAAATTTTTTAATGAAAAATAATGAGGAAATCTTAGAAGCACCAGAGAGAAAAGGGTATTTACCTCCTAAAAGCAAATATGAGACTTATGTAACACTTCTTAACAAAAATAATGAAAGGCAGAGGCCATGGAAGTCTATCTTTGAGATGCTAAAAAAAAAAAAACAAAAAACAAAAACAAAAAAACCCCCAACTATCAAGCTATAATTCTATGTTTAGCTAAAATGTGTTTCAAGAATAAGCTGAAAAAGAAATTTAAGACAAACAAAACACTGGAAGACGCAATTTGAAAAACCTAATAGCATTTACAATAACCTCAAAATATGTTAACTTCAGACATATCTTGAAGACAATGTGGGTTCTGTTCTAGACCACTGCAATAAAGCAAGTATTGCAATAAAGCAATTCAAATGAATTTTTTTGGTATCCTTGTGCACCTGGGTGGCTCAGTCAGTTGAGCATCTGACTCTTGATATTGGCTCAGGTCATGATCCCAGGGTCATGGGATCGAGCCCCTTGTTGGGATCTGTGCTGAATGTGGAAACTATTTAAGATTCTCTCTCTCTCTCTCTCTTTCCCTCTACCCTCTACCCCTTTCCCCTTCTCATGCTCTGTCTCTCTTTCTCTTAAAAAAGTTATGTTTATACTATAGTCTATGAGGTGTCAACAGCGTTATGTCTAAAAAACAATACATATACAGTATATGCCTTAATGAAAAATACATTATTGCTAAAATATGCTAATCATAATCTGAGTTTTCAGCAGGTCATAATCACTGATCACAGATCATAACAAATACAATATTAATGAAAATCTTGAAATACTGAGAGAATTACCAAAATGTGACCCAGAGACACAAAGTGAGCAAACACTGTTGGAAAAATGGCACCAAAAGATTTTTCTCAAGGCGGGGTTGCCACAAACTTCAATTTATTAAAAAAATTTCTCTACCCAGAAATAAAAGTAAAACAAAAGTCTTATAAGAGTAAAGAAGACATAAATAAAAGGAAATCTAAGCCATGTTCAAGGACTAGAAAGCTCAATATAATAAAGATGTCATTTCTCTCCCAAAGGATTTGGTGTTTCTATGCAACCCAATAGAAATTCTAATAAGCATCTCTGTGGATATGATCTGATTATATGGAAATCAAAGGCCACAAGAGCTAATACAGTCTTAAAAAGAACAAAGTTGGAAGACAAAGACTATTGATATTAAGGTTTACGATATTTATACAAGGATAGGATAAAAGACCACTGGAACAGAATAGAAATTCCCAAATAAACCCACATATATATGGAATGTTTGATTGATGACAGATATGAGTGGTCTTTCAATAAAGGTGTCATTCCCATCCAAATACTAACCAGGTCCGAACCTGCTTAGCTTCCAAGATCAGATGAGATCAGGTGTATTCAGGGTGGTATGGCTGTAGACAATAAAGGTGCCATTCCAATAGAATTTTTCTTTTGGGGGGGGGATGAATTTTGACTCCTAACTCATATCTTACGCAAAAAGTAAACACAACTTTTAGAAAATAAAAAGGGAGAATATATTAACTGGAGTGAGACTACTTCATGTAAAAGCTGAGAAGGCTAATCAGAACACAACCGTGAAGGGAATGTTGGCTTACTCCAATATTCAACCTAGAGGTGATCAAGTCCCCTGTTCTGTGCTCAGTTGTGTCCCCTCAAATTCTCAAGGTTTGAACTCCCAGTATCTCAGAATGTGACCGTATTTGGGGATGGGGTCTTTAAAAGGTGATTAAGTTAAAGTGAGGCCATTAGGGTCGTATATTTATACGAGGGGGAAATTTGACACACAAGAGGGATACCGGGGATGCTTGCACACAGAGGAAAGGCCATGTGGGGACACAGAGAAGTCTGAGAGCCAAGGAGAGAGACCTCAAAAGAGGCCAAATCTGCCCAAACCTTAATCTTGGACTTCTAATTCTGAAACTGTAAGAAAATACAATTTTATTGTTCAAGCCACCAAGTCTGTGTATTTTGCTATGGCAGCCTAAGGAGACTACCATAGCCCAGGGTTCTATGTCACAGAGAAGGGCTGCAATAATTTCAGCCCCCAAAAAATTTAAGTAGTGTGACCTACAGGTCATCTTACCACAAAAATCACAATCCCATGTCCATAGAAGGTGTAGCTCTAATTTCCTCACGATCTTTCCAAGATAAACCAGTTAAGACATATTTCTCAACAGCTAAAGCAACGGATTGTACTAGATTGTTCTGTAGAAGCCAGTGTACTGCATTTAGACAACACAAACACTGAGATCTGCTTCACTCAGCCCCTGATCTCCAGGTCCAGGGGGATCACTGGATTCAGGCTTCTGCCACCTAGGAGATAGAATGCCAGAGACAAGAAATGATGGTAGAATCCCTAGAAACCTCAAATCACACCATTTGAAAGGGCATCGCATGGTGGTTAAGAGTAGGAATGTGAGAGTTAGCTAGACTGGGTTCAAATCCTGCTTCTGCCACTAACTGACTGTGGGCAAGTTATTTAAACTCCCTGCAGTTTACTTGACATGTTTGTAAAACAAGAATGATAGTAGCTGAGCCTATTTAACAGAGTTGGTATGAGGATCACGAGGCTTGGTATTAGGGTGGCACTTACACTGGTACCCGGCATATGTGGAGATCTGGGGTCAGACCTGAGGTTAAATATAGGTGATTCTGATGACTGAATTTCCCACTATTGGATTATCTGCTTATACTGTGGGTCATGCACAAGTGCTTCACCCAGCAGAATCCATGTGCAGATCACTTCCCTGAAATGAGGATTGGTGATACGTATCAGCAAGGAGCCAGGGGTGTGCTGAGTGCTGAGTGCTGTGCTCATGTCTGTGCCTGATCCCCCTGCATAGACCCTAAGACAAGGCTGGGCTTGAGAGGACTGGATGTGGCTGCCCACCCTCCCCCTTTAAGCACGTGCAGCACATTAGAACCAGCTAGCCAGTCTCGGCACAGGGTCCCAGCTCTTCCATTAGATGGATCATCTGGGGCGAGTTGCTTGACCTCTCTGAGCTCGTTCGCTCACATTCACTCACTTGCTTGTTGAAGTCACTGCACACGCTTATTTTACGCATGTACACACACTACACTGGGACATGGGAGTCACAGCGTCACCCATTCTCTCACTTCGGCTTCGTAGAAAACTGTATTTGGTGATAGTGTGGTTTTCTGAAACCTTACGCTGCTGACCCTCAAAACTTCAGGGGGCAGGAGAAATGGCGTATTTGGAGCCCACATCTGGATACCAGGGCACTATGCCAGTGGGCACGGGTGGAGACTCACCAGGTGGAGAGAAAGCAGAGCTCCCGCAGGGGAGGCAGCCAGCCTGGCCAGGCCGCGCACTGAAGGTGCCTTCGGGGCATGGCAGGCACTCTCCAGCTGCCCCTGCCCGGCTGCTGTTCCTAAAGGTTCCTGGCGGGCAGGGCCTGGGGCTGGGGGTCCTGGCTGGACAGTAGTGCCCCACTGGGCAGGGCTGGCTGTGGTAGCTCTCTGCTCCTGGAGGGGAATGGGGGGGGGGCGGAGTTCTGAGCCAGGGACTCTAGCTCAGGCAGGGACTTAGCAATGGCAGAGTCCAGGGGAAGAATAAACTCGGGGTCTGGGTGGGGTAGAGAGCTGGAGGGCAAATACTGTTGAGAGCAGAATTCAGATTGTAGGGAGGACAGTGGAGGCGCCGCGCTTTATTGTATCGACCCCTCCCCCCAAAACAGTCCTCCTTGACCTTGGGGCACCACAGAACGCACTTGCATCCCTCTCGCAAACACAGAGCGGGACACCCAGCGTTGCTGACACACTGGGCAGTAGTTGCCCTGTTTTCCAGAGCACCTGGACCACTCGCTCCAACTAATTTGCATGATGTTATGTACAGTCTGTAATTTTTACAAAATTAACACCAAGACAGGTGTGGCACCTACTTTCCCCTCCTTCCCCTGTGTCTTCCCCGCGTGCTTGGGTCTTTCTCTATCAGGTGGCTGGACTCGCTGAGAAAAACTACAGGCCCGTTCCTCTGCCCACTCCCAGGGGCTCTGTGGGAACTCCCCACCCGCCACCTCGACCCTCCTTACTGGGCTCTGCCCAGTGCTGACTCGAGGCCCCAGCTCCCCTCTCTTGCTCACATCCGGACTTCCCAAGCTCACCCTGATGGCAGCTGAATCCAGGGGGACAGGGCTGGCAGGCTGGGGTGTCCAGAGCCGGGCCGCGGTAGGTGCCTGCTTCACAGAGGCGGCAGCAAGTCTCCTCTGAGACCCTGAGGCCAGTCTTGTTCAGTGCCTCAGAACCCCCAGGGCACGCACGTGGATAGGCACTGCCCAGGGGGCAGTAAGAGGGAAACAGGCAGCTGCACAGAGACACAGAGCCCAGGACCCTAGTTTCGTGTTGACGGGGCTGTGTGGCTATTACTCTCATCTCACCAGCGAGGTTCCCCTCAGCCCCCCACCAACATTCCCCATGTTTGGGCCTTAAGCTGGCTGGGGGAGGGGCAGCTCTGATACTATCCCAGACATGGGGTCGTGGGACGGCCGTGTGTCCGATGAGGCCTAGGTAGGTCAAGGTGTTATCCTGGAGGAGGCAGAGCCACACCCACTGGCCAGGCCGTTGGGCAGTGGGCAGACGGGTGCTCCCTGCCCACCTCACCCTGGGCAAAGGAATAAGGGGAACTAATCTGACTGGTTCTGGGCGTGGGGGCGGGGACCCAGTGGGGGTGCTGGGAATGTCAGTCCTAGACACAGGATTGGGGTTGCCAACGGAAGTACACTGCATCCAGTCATATTTGAATTTCAGATAAACAGTGCTAAGTAACAATGAATAAACAATGAGAATAAGTACTCTCACGTGTTGCATGGGCCATAGTTATCCTAAAAATTTGTTGTTTATTTGAAATTCATACTTAACTGGGCTTTCCTGTATTTTTATTTACCAAACACGGCCGCCCCACACAGAAGGGCCTGGAAACTACTGAAGGGCATCTCCGTGGGATTTGCATCCTCGCCCTCCCTTCCTTTTTAAGGACAGAGACAGAGACTGGGGCATGTGGACACCGTAGCTGGGAAGTCCACGCAAAGGGTTACCCAGTACTTGTCTCTGGGTCCTTGGGACTCAGGGCTTTGACTCTTCTCTGGAGATCCCAGGGCCGGAGACACACAGACCGGGGGGGGGGGGGGGGTACTCACAGCTGCCCTGGGCCAGTGTAGGTGGAGGAGCCAGCAGGGCAGGCATAGCCCGCTGGGCAAGGTGGGGGGGTCCCTGTCTGGCCCTCGCAGTAGGAGCCAGCCCTACAGGTGACCTCAGCCACAGCACCTGAGGAAGACAGGAGCAGACCTGGGCACCCTGGTCTTGAGGGTTCCCAGGAGGCACAGACCCACCCAAGACTGAGTGGGCCACGGGTCTGGGCAAATGACTTGCTAAAGCTAGCAGGTGGCCATGCCTTGCCTGCGTGATGCGTCCTGTGCTGATAAGACCTGCCTGAGCACCCGGCCTAAGCCTCAGGGGGCATAAGCCTCAGGGGGCACAAGGGATGGGGGCAGCAGCTGGGGAGGGGGGGCCAGGCCAGGCAGTGTCACCTGCAGGGCATTCAGATCCAGCTCTGCAGGGGATTGCAAACACATTTGCGTGACCCCTCAGCTCAGCCTGGGGGCAGTAGTGGCCAGGGGGACAGAGCTCACAGTCTTCTTTTGATGATGCCCCTGGTTTTGTTCGAAAGGTGCCAGGTGGGCAGAGAAAGGCACCCTGATCACCTGGACACCAGTAGCCTGGAGGACACAGGTGGTTTTCAAGGGAAGAGAGACCTGGGGGCAAAAACAGCAGTCATTGCCATGGGGCTCCAGGTGGCCTCTCATCTCTCCTCCACAGAGGTCTCAGCCTCTGGCCTAGGGGTAGCCTCTCACCTGGGGATGGGCAGAGGTAGCCAGGAGGGCAGGGGAGGCACTCTGCCAGACTCTGGCCTCCTTCTGCAGCCAGGTAGGTATGCTCAGGGCAGGCCTGAGGGCGTCCTGGGCTGGTCTCACTCCCTCCAGGGCAGTAGTGGCCAGCAGGGCAGGGGTGGGTGGCCGGGTCTCCTGGAGAGAAAAGGTGGTTTCCACTTGCTGTCCTCTCCCCCTGCCCAGAGGGCCTCCCTCTGTCCTGCTCAGGACCAGCGCCCTCCCAGGGCAGGTATCTCACCGGCTTTGCACCAACGCCCTGCAGGGCAAGGCCCACATTCCTCTTGCTGCTTGGCTCCCGGGGCAGCTGCCATGGTGTGAGGTGGGCACAAGGTGGGTTGTCCACTGCCCTCTGGACAGTAAAAACCTGAAGCACGTGGGGTCACACTGGATCTCGTGGAGGGCAGGGAGGCTGCTCCACCACCGCAGGTTGGCAACAGCGTGTATCCAGGGGTGGCCTGGGGGCTTCTACTGGCCCAGGAATTGGGAAGTCTGAATGCCAGTCTGGGCTCCACACAAGATGTTGGTCACGTCACTAACCATCTGAGTCACATTAGGTGCACGTTCATATTATACGCATATGATGTGTGTAATTACATACGCACACATATGCAGATACACATTAGGTGTATAACACTGGGGGTCAACTATTTTTTATGATTTGTTAACGTAAGCTCTATGACCAACATGGTCTTGAACTCACGACCTTGAAATCAAGAGCCGCATGCATGCTCTACTGACTGAGATAGGCAGTGTGGCTGTCAACTATTTTTAGAGTTTGTTTTTGACTAAAAAAAATCCAGTCCTTTCCCTGAGTGGGTCTGGTAGTCCTCTCTGCCTCTTTCACACCCCAAGGAAAAGAAATGGGCTGTTACCTGGTGGGCACTGCTTGGCACACAGCTGTCCCTGGGGACACGAGCTCTGAGACTCCCTGGAATCTTGTGTCATCAGTTCGGAGGTCCCAGGGGGGCAGAAATAACCAGCAGGACATTTCCCCCACACCTGTCCGCCTCTAACAGCACAGAGAGGGGAGAAGAGTGAGGTCAGGGTGGGCGGGCTGATCTGAGCCCAATGACCCAGGACCAGGGGAGACCCAGGCCCTTGTTTCAGACCGTTTCATTCTGACCCAGTGTGACATGCTTCCAATCTCTGCCCCAGGAGAACACATGGCTACACCCCCATCTATGACAGAAACAGGATGTGATACAGGACATGAGGCTCAGACCAGGGGTGCTGGACCCAGTGCGGGGTTTGAAGCACCCCCGCACGTCCTTCAGGAGGAGACGGATTCCTGGATGCTCTTATCCACGGAGTTTGTGGCGCTCGGTGGATAAAGACGAGGACTCAGGGCTGCAGTAGCAGGACGGGTTCCTTCTGGAGGAAACTTGTGCCCCCGTCACACTCACTGTGGGGATGAGGAGGCGTGTCCTGGCTGCTTCCTGCGTTGCCTCCAGGGAGCGCCTGGGGCCTGGCGGGTCGCCGGGCCCGGGCCGAGCTTTGATAGCCACCAGCCTGATCTCCAGCAGGAAGCAGGCTAGGCTAGACCTAAGGGTGAACTTCCTGAGTAGAGGGAGACGATCCTCCAGAAAGAGCCTCTGAGGAACTCTCCACTTTCACCTTTTCAGGAGAAAATAATCTGTTCTGAAGCAGGTTCATCTCTGCGTGAAATGGAATAGCTCTTCTTTTGACGACCCCTCTTTCCAGTCCCAGAAAATTGGAGGTATGTGTTTTCAGCAAAAGTTGGGAGTTCCTCTGGATCAGAGACTCTCAGTGTGCTCTCCTTTTGTCTGGCTGTGCAGGGGGAGTTGGGCCGAGGGCCACTTTGAGTGACGAGGCCTGTCTCCAGGGTCTCAGAGGAGGCTGAGTAACCCCTACCCAGCCCTGGAGGCTGTGAGTCTCTGAATCCCAAGGACAGAGTTCTTCCGCTACTGCACAAATACACACATAACAAGTAAGCGTAGGACATTCAGGTAGAATTGGGGTGTCCTGAGGTCTGCTCTCTGACTATTCTGTTTGTGGGTACCAGTCGTTGTCTTTCTAGCCCCAACGATTACAAAAGCTATTCACATTGTAGAAAATTCAGAGATAGAGATAGAAAGGATTGTTCATCTTTTCCCCTGAGTGTATGTGCAGAACTCTGGTATTACCTACAGGCACAAAGAATTTTGCCCATAAGGAATTTCCCCATGTTTTCAGGCAGGACTGAGCAGAGCTATTTTCATTTCATACCGACCCACGCTCAATCTGAATGTACTTATTATTTTTTGAAGAAAATCTACGTCTGTGTGCATTGTCCTGGCTCTCTTCACCTGATTGTCAGGCTTGACTCCCTGTTCAGACCTGGGGGGCCAGGTGCGACTGTAGTCTTACACTGCCCTGCCCTCACACCTGGGCTGCCCGTGAATAACGTGGGGGCCTTGAGGCAGGCCAGGGGGGCCTCCTCACCCGGAGGGTGGAATTTGGTGGCAGCACAGGGGGTGAATGACTGTGGACTATCACTGACCTGCAGTAGTTACCGGGGGGACAGATGGAGCAGTCGCCCTCTTCCCGGAGGCCTGACGCATCTTGGGGAGTGAAGGTCCCTGGAGGACATGGAAAAGGGGACCACGTTCCTGGAGAGGAGAGGGTAGCTAGTGAAGATGGGCAGCTCAGGGCTCAAGTCGCATCAGGGCCCGTGGACCCCCCTCCTCCACACCTGGGGTAATTAGTGATGCCCCCCCATCAGGATCCCGCAGTCCCCACGGTGCTGAGTTATTCTTCCTGCTTTCTCAGAGTCTTCAAAGTGCTGAAATGGCTGCGACTTCAGTCTCTCCCCATAGGATCATTGTCCTCTTACAAAAGAGTAACTCCCTAGCGAAGGATTTCCGCATGGCAGTGAAGCTTATTTGAGGGCGAGGGGCTATTAATCTAGGCAATGGGCTCAGGGAGTTGCCTTCTGTGTATCACACACCGGGCTCTCTGGGACTGAGCTGGAACCAGTCAGTCCGTACTAAGTACATCTGTCTCTTGGGAGCCGCCTTCCCCTCCTAGCCACCGCCTCCATGGTGCTCTACCGCCTGGCCTGGTTGGCTGTGGCTCCCTCCTCTCTAACTCGGTCACCCGCCAACCGCACTACATCAGCGGCCCTTGTAGTGGCCTGGGCGCCATCCTCCGGCTTTGCCAACCTCAGCATTTCCCTGTGTATGCGAGCTGTGCTGCTTTGTGCCAGGTGCACCCCGGTACACAGCCGGGATGGGAAATAAAGAGAGGAAGCGCCCCTGCAGGGAAAAAGTTTAAAGAAAGAGGCTGGATCTACTGAAAAGAAATTTCTGACCAAGAGAGGAAGTAAAAAGCTAAAGGTGGGAATTTGGTTAGGGGATGTTAAAGTAAGAGAGTCAGGACTTCAGCAAGAGTGGGCTGAGTAGCCAGGTGAACAGTTCTTTCCCATAGGGCAGCTGTACTTCCTGTGTGGTGTGTGTGTGTGTGTGTGTGTGTGTGTGTGTGACTAATACAACCCGTACTCACGGGAACAACAGGCCAAGTTCTTTGAACTTGAAATGTAAATATTCTGGGGTAAGAGGTCACTCATTTAAAAGGGACACATAGACCTTTCACAACATAGTCACAGGAAGAACAAAGGTAGGGGCTCCTGGGTGGTTCAGTCGGTTAAGTGTCTGACTTGATTTCAGCTCAGGTCATGATCTCGAGGTTCGTGAGATCAAGCCCTGCACTGGGCTCTGCGCTGACAGTGTAGAGCCTGCTTGGGATTCTCTCTCTTCCATTCTCTCTGCCTCTCCTCTGCTTGTGCTCATTCTCTTTCTCTCTGTCTTTCAAAATAAATAAACAGCGGCGCCTGGGTGGCTCAGTCGGTTAAGCGTCCGACTTCGGCTCAGGTCATGATCTCGCGGTTTGTGGGTTCGAGCCCCGCGTCGGGCTCTGTGCTGACAGCTCGGAACCTAGAGCTGCTTCGGATTCTGTGTCTCCCTCTCTCTCTGCCCACCCCTGCTCGTGCTCTGTCTCTCACTGTCTGTCAATAATAAATAAATGTTAAAAATTTTTTTAAAAAAACTAAATAAACAGTGATGAAATTTGGTACATTTAAAAAAAAAACTAAATAAACAGTAAACATATACTAAATGTATACGTATATGTAAATAAATACATATATAAAGGAAGAACAAATGTATGGATCACCTGTGGATCAAATACTTGCAAAGGTAACATACTCACAATTCCTAATATTGTCAGGAAGATTTTCCCCAAATTTATGTAAGATATGGCAAAGATTATGAACTTTTACGGAAACCTATTTGTCTGCCAGGCTGCCTGGGGACAACATATGTATGTGTGTACGCCTGTGTGTGTGTGCATTTTCATGTATTTGTATATACTGTGTACACATCTGTATGTGTGTGCACACATGTGAGTTTGTATGTGTGCACCATGAGCCTGTGTATGTACACTTGTGCATGTGGGTATATATTCACATGTGCATGCAAACATTTGTGTGAGCATGGGCTCATGCACAGTGTGTTCAGGATAACTGGACTCAAACTTGAGGAGAGCAAACTCGCGGTCACTGGGGCATCACGTTCTGATTCTCAGATTCCACTTCCTGCCCCAGCACCACCACAGAGCCCTTCTCCATGCTGTGCTCAGGAAGCTGCTCCCAGATTGTTGGCCCAGACTGGCGCAGGTAATGACATCTGTTTGCCATCATCCCGATCCAGGTGCTCACCCTGGGCCCCCAGGCTGAGTGTAAGGAAGAGGCAGGACATTAAGCATGAGTGAGTCAACAGCCGAAGAGAAGAAAAGCAGTGGGGTGGGGCAGGTTGGGCGTGGGGTAGGGTGAGGGGAGGATGCAAGCTGTGCAGGTGCTCTTCCCCATCGGCATTCCTAGTGCACGCAGCAGCCTGGCACGCAGTAGGCACTCCATGGAGTTTGAATGAATGAATGAATGGAGGGAGAGAAGGAAGGAAGGAAGGAAGGAAGGAACGAACGAACGAACGAAGGAACGAAGGAACGAAGGAACGAAGGAAGGAAGATGAGGGTCTTGGGGAGAATGATAAGGGCCTGGGGTGCATGGGCACTTGAGAGTCCCTGGGCATACCGGCTGGGCAGTAGGTGTGTGCTGGGCAGAGCCTGGATATTCCGGTGCCAGGACGCGGGCAGTGAAAGCCAGGTGGACACAGGAGGCAGGTGTCTGAGCCTAGGGAGGGCTGGTACTCCCCTTGGTGACACGGGACAGGCCAAGCAGATCCTTGTTGGCAGAAGTGACCCTGGGCATTGGACACAAAATGGCACCTCTGAGAGCCAGGTTGGGTATGGCTGAGTGCTCAGGGGCTCAGAAAGGTCATGGAGTTATCCTACATTCCGGTGGTTCAGGCCATGGTGACTGGAGTACAGGACGCCAGGAGACTGGGTGGGTCATTGGAAAAAGAATTGGGGCCTGGGAGATTGGAGTGTTGCGGTCCCTCCTACAAGGCACCGAGAGCTGGGGCTCCAGCCTGAATCTTGGGTGGGGATCCCTGGTTCCCCAGGCCTTGGGGACTGGGCTGCCTCTGCAGCTCCCGGGGAGGTACCTGAGGGCAGAGGACAGCCAAGGGGCTGGAGGTCCTGACGTCCCAGGGGCATTCAGAGCCAGCCACACAGGAGCTGACAGGAGAGCTAAGGCCCAGGCCAGGGCAGAAGGAGCCTGCTGGGCAGGGCCTGCAGCTCCCCCTGGAGGTGCCACCTGGGTAAGGAGGTCAAAGTTCACAAGCTCAGTCCCCATGTTAGAATATCGGCTCCTGAGGATGGGACCTTTTCCATGCTTGGCTTGCTGCCGCTTCCCAGTACTAGAATGGAGCCTAGCACAATACTTCAGAATGAAGTAACCTCTGATCAAAGCCTTGCTGAGGGCATCTCTGCCTTGGTTGGCCAAAGGCGCAGCCTGGCATTCTGCAGACAGAGCCCTGCGCTGGGCATAGACTAAAGGAGTCCTTGTCCTGGGTGGGAAGCCCTAACATCCAC